CTAATTTCTTCCGATCCAATCATAAATTTTCATAGGAGACTATGGATAAAAAAAATTTAAAATATTGATCCTGAAGCCGAAAATTTATTGAAATAGGAGTAACTATAAATAACTGAGTCCGAAAATCTTCATGTAATGTAATTTAGTGCAATAATAACTTTAATTCAAATAATTCAACTCCTGGTTAACAGTATTTTCCAGATAATTATTAATATTAAAATGTCAAGGTCAAGGTCATTGGGGGAGGCTCCCCTAATCTACATTTTTACCGAAATTTTCATTGATCCAAAGAAATAATTTTTACAAATACGAGCAAAAAAATATTTCTTTAAAATTATTCTTTCTCAGTGTTTATTTCCTTTTTAGATGCCACATTTTAATATTACAGAATACATCGGTACAATGTACATAATTAGAAGATAAATTATCGCGAATTACCGTCTTGTATCATTCTATATTATTCTGTTTACATGCTAGTATATGATCGTTAAATAGCTAAAATAGAGCATATTACTGTATAAGGCTTTTTTCTTATACCACCTGTAGAGTGTACTCATGCGCCATGGAAAAGATTTCAGAACGTCACGAGAGTACGAATTAGTGTGAATGAAACGGTGATGATGGCAGCGGTAGCAACAGTCAATAATGGCCGACAATGTACAAGTGGCGCGAGCGAGAGGATTCAGTCTGTCGACGCACTTCCGAGATCACTTTTCAACTACCTGCTCACCTTCCAAAGTGTCAAAGAGAGATCGATAAACTGCAGAGCTTCAAACACGAGACGTGAGTAATTTCAAAGCAAGGACGTTTCCTTTCAAAAATTGTGTGCACGCGTAAATTTTTCAATTATGTCGCTAATTAATATCATTAATCTTTCAAAAAGTGTGTTCGAGGACGAAACCAATCTATCGATTTCGCTGGCTGTAAACAAAATAAAATGGAGCTATTCACTTTTATCTAATCTACGTTCATGAAAAAGCTAGGAATACATTTTACGATCCGTTCTATAGAAACGTTAAAATATATCAGTTCAAATATAAAAGCGTGACAACTATATCGACGACACGCGAAACATGAATACGCTCCACCGAACAATGCTAAGAAAAAGATCAGAGATCACGCGACGTACAAAATTAAATAGTGTAAAATACTTGAGTGCATGTCTCGTGAGTAATTCTCGAAAAGAAGTGATACGACGCACAGTGGGGAAAATCAAGAATTTATTATTCAAAAATCGCTATACGGACTGTAATTCTTAATCGATCAAGATCTTTTTTTTTTAAATTAATTGTAAATAAATGCTAAAGAAAACTATGGAGTTAGATTTTTAAAAAGGGTCCCTTGAAATGTGCAATATTAATAATTATCTAGAAAATACTGTTAACCAGAAGTTGAATTATTTGAATTAAAGTTATTATTGCACTAAATTACATTACATGAGGATTTTCGGACTCAGTTACTCACAGTTACTCCTATTTCAATAAATTTTCGGCTTCACTCCTATGAAAATGTATGACTGGATCGGGAGAAATTAGGAGCTTGTATGTATATATCTCCGTTTGCTAATAAACGGGAACATTTTCTTGTATTGTAAAGACGGAACCGTTTGAAATCTTTATTCTGAGCTTCTGCAGCTTCCTCCGATAACTGTCCAATCGCAAGATGAAAATATTGCATAACATCACTCCCATGTAAAAATATTTTATGAACTGTAACGGATATGTAATACCATGGATACTCACATTTTATTATATTATAATTATATTTATTTGTTTTATAACTTTATATTATAAAATTTATTTATATTATAAAAAAAGAGAACGTGATAAAGTAATAAACATAAATTGATATAGAGCATACACCACACGCGCGCCGGATTATATTGGCGAATATTTATATATTAAAATATTGATTAGTAAATGAGTAGTAAATTTTGTATCTAAAAGATTTCAAACGTTTCCCTCTTTACAACACAAGAAAATGTTCTCGTTTATTAGCAAACGAAGATATGCACAAGCTCCTAATTTCTTCCGATCCAATCATAAATTTTCATAGGAGACTATGGATAAAAAAAATTTTAAATATTGATCCTGAAGCCGAAAATTTATTGAAATAGGAGTAACTATAAATAACTGAGTCCGAAAATCTTCATGTAATGTAATTTAGTGCAATAATAACTTTAATTCAAATAATTCAACTCCTGGTTAACAGTATTTTCCAGATAATTATTAATATTAAAAATTTCAAGGGACCCTTTTTAAAAATCTAACTCCACAGTTTTCTTTAGCATTTATTTACGATTAATTTAAACAAAATGATCTCGATCGGTTAAGAATTACGGTGTGTGTAGCGATTTTTGAACAATAAATTCTCTATTTTTCCTACTGTGCGACGTGTCTAACAGAAAACTAAATCGATAAGTTACTGTGATTCTTAGTTTTGCAAGAACTTCTGCGCAAAATAAACTACGTATATTTTAATATTAGAATGTTCGGAACAAGATAAAATAAGATGAAAATTTTCTAGATTTCTCGAAAGTTTACGTGCAATAAGATAATCTATTTGACTTTTTGTAACAAATATAACTTTCTCATTTCTTATTTTATCAAGATAAAAATTTCTCTATCTTTTGTACATTGAGAAAAAAATTTGTTAAATATTAATATTTTTTTGTAGTCCTAGTGGAACATTTACTTACGGTAAATAAATATTTAGATAAATGAAAAAAATAATAATTGAATCAAACTAATGGTTCTTGGATGTAATAAATATGTGTTTACATTTGTTAAATATTCCGCTTGGACTATTCAAATAAATATTTATTAAAATTTAGTAATTTTTTTCACAGTGTACATAAGACAGACTACAGCTTAGTTTGTTTTTAGTATTCGCGATGAAAATTTTTTTCTATAAGCAGATATCAGATGCGCAAATATTAGTCAATTATGTCGCTAATTAATATCATTAATCTTTCAAAAAGTGTGTTCGAGGACGAAACCAATCTATCGATTTCGCTGGCTGTAAACAAAATAAAATGGAGCTATGCTGATCATCCATCAACGTTCTAAATCTATCATAGAATCTATCATTAGGATTAATGTATTCCGTGTTGGTACACAGGACACAGGAAATGTCATACGATGAATTTGAATAAAGCGCACGTCTTAATGCCGGCAGAGAATTCATGTTGGCTTAAAAACAAGCGTTTTATTTAATCATTAAAAACAAATTAGAGATGAGCGTAAGAAATGAGTTGTAACTGTAATATGATCTAGTTACTCATTACAACATGAATTTTGTAAGAATAAGCAAACGTCCACACAAGTCTAGAATACTATTAGATATTACTATACATATCTTTCGGATATTAATTACCTTGGAAAATTTAATTTTTTTTAATTACTTAAATTATTTTTTATACACATAAAACGTGTTATTATTTAACTTAAAAATATTAGTTGCGATTCAAAAGTTGCTTGATTGCAGTAACTAAAACTGGTGGGTAAATCGCTTTAAGTTGTATAGCTTTATCGAGAAAGTTGTACCTGTATTCCGTTAACCATATTAATTCAACGACGGTTCGTTAATTCCCCAATTGCTTTGCAGTATGCGAGTTGACCAAGCTACATTTTGATGCGGGAACCAGAACTGACTGTCAAAAGTTGGCAGATCTTAAGATTAAACGATGACAGATCTGTAGTTTGTCATTCGAGAACATAAGCAATCGGGGTTGCAAAATATGCTTTAAAACCTCATGAAACGTTCTTTTGTGAAAGGCGATGAAGAAAATTTATCCAGATGTAATTTACATCAGTATAACCAGGATTCAAAAAGCAAGAAGTAATTAAAAGACTTGCAAAATTATGTACCGAAAATCGAAAGGTATAAAAATAATCTTTAAGAGAAAAATAGGTCTATACCTTAATGAGCGTTCCTATTTTTTATCGCTATTTTATACTAGCACTATTTTATAATAACACGTAGAAAATTTTATAGATACACTAAATTACTAATGTGTGTACAATATATGTTGTATATTCGTAAATCTATTAATTATTTATCAATACTAATAATCTTTCATCAAATGTAATAAGTGATCCATCAGATAAACATTATATTCTTTCTTTCATTTTACAAAGAAATTTACAACTCTTGACACGCCGGATACTTGTAAATAGTGAAAGCGATGCAACGGGCAATTTAAGAAACGAACAGTCAGTTCCGTCGGGGTTAATTGATTTACTGCCTTTGGACAAACGCGTGATTATGTGCAATACTTCGTGTTGCGACATGCAATCTTTCCTCGAATTATATTCCATCTCGCGTGACGTTTGCTCACGTTTTTTGTTATGTGAATCTTTTAACTGGATTTCGATATTCCTGATTCCCCGGCAGGGGGAACATCGAAACGAACCAGGAAAATACAAATTCTGTGAAAAGTCACATATGTATTATACTTATACATGACTGCGCGATCATGACCATGTTAAATTCACACAATCATGTGTCGAATTGATGCTGCAAACTAAGGGCGAACCTCGCCAAAAAATTATCGATCGGCGTAACAATACGGGAGACACACTTGTATTTTTTTGTACAATGCAAAACTAATATACAATACGTTTGTAACTGTAATATGATCTAGTTACTCATTACAACATGAATTTTGTAAGAATAAGCAAACGTCCACACAAGTCTAGAATACTATTAGATATTACTATACATATCTTTCGGATATTAATTACCTTGGCAAATTTAATTTTTTTTAATTACTTAAATTATTTTTTATACACATAAAACGTGTTATTATTTAACTTAAAAATATTAGTTGCGATTCAAAAGTTGCTTGATTGCAGTAACTAAAACTGATGGGTAATTCGCTTTAAGTTGTATAGCTTTATAGCTTTATATAGAAAGTTGTACCTGTATTCCGTTAACCATATTAATTCAACGACGGTTCGTTAATTCCCCAATTGCTTCGCAATATGCGAGTTGACCAAGCTACGTTTTGATGCGGGAACCAGAACTGACTGTCAAAAGTTGGCAGATCTTAAGATTAAACGATGACATATCTGTAGTTTGTCACTCGAAAACATAAGCAATCGGGGTTGCAAAATATGCTTTAAAACCTCACGAAACGTTCTTTTGTGAAAGGCGATGAAGAAAATGTATCCAGATGTAATTTACATCAGTATAACCAGGATTCAAAAAGCAAGAAGTAAATAAAAGACTTGCAAAATTATATACCGAAAATCGAAAGATAAAAAAATAATCTTCAAGAGAAACATAGGTCTACACCTTAATGAGCGTTCCTATTTTTTATCGCTATTTTATACTAGTACTATTTTATAATAACATGTAGAAAATTTTATAGATACACTAAATTACTAATGTGTGTACAATATATGTTGTATATTCGTAAATCTATTAATTATTTATCAATACTAATAATCTTTCATCAAATGTAATAAGTGATCCATCAGATAAACATTATATTCTTTCTTTCATTTTACAAAGAAATTTACAACTCTTGACACGCCGGATACTTGTAAATAGTGAAAGCGATGCAACGGGCAATTTAAGAAACGAACAGTCAGTTCCGTCGGGGTTAATTGATTTACTGCCTTTGGACAAACGCATGATTATGTGCAATACTTCGTGTTGCGACATGCAATCTTTCCTCGAATTATATTCCACCTCGCGTGACGTTTGCTCACGTTTTTTGTTATGTGAATCTTTTAACTGGATTTCGATATTCCTGATTCCCCGGCAGGGGGAACATCGAAACGAATCAAGAAAATACAATTTTTGTGAAAAGTCACAAATGTACTTATACATGACTGCGCGATCATGACCGTGGTAAATTCACACAATCATGTGTCATACAGAATTGATGCTGCAAACTAGGGGCGAACCTCGCTAAAAAATTATCGATCGGTGTAACAATACGGGAGACACACTTGTATTTTTTTGTGCAATGCAACTAATATACAATACAATCTTCAGGAATTTTCGACCATCTTTCTTGCACTGTGGTTTTGACGTAGTTACGCAAAACCTCACAGAAATCACTTCGTGATCAACCTAGTTTTGTTCCACGACCCGATGGTTTTGACATGTTAAATTAAAATAGACCGCTCTATTAATGTGAATCAGAGAACGCATAAGCGAAGTGTACGCTTCCGAGAGCTGGTGAAAATCGATTTTGCGATAGATACTGTATAGCTGCTCTGACGTTGACAGTTGTTCTCAACTTGAATTCTATAAGTGCTCACATTTACTGTGATATATTGTCACGTGCCACGCCGTAGAAAACAAGGCATAATTTTTTTCGGATCACGTTTTTTGTTATGTGAATCTTTTAACTGGATTTCGATATTCCTGATTCCCCGGCAGGGGGAACATCGAAACGAATCAAGAAAATACAATTTTTGTGAAAAGTCACAAATGTACTTATACATGACTGCGCGATCATGACCGTGGTAAATTCACACAATCATGTGTCATACAGAATTGATGCTGCAAACTAGGGGCGAACCTCGCTAAAAAATTATCGATCGGTGTAACAATACGGGAGACACACTTGTATTTTTTTGTGCAATGCAACTAATATACAATACAATCTTCAGGAATTTTCGACCATCTTTCTTGCACTGTGGTTTTGACGTAGTTACGCAAAACCTCACAAAAATCACTTCGTGATCAACCTAGTTTTGTTCCACGACCCGATGGTTTTGACATGTTAAATTAAAATAGACCGCTCTATTAATGTGAACCGGAGAACGCATAAGCGAAGTGTACGCTTCCGAGAGCTGGTGAAAATCGATTTTGCGATAGATACTGTATAGCTGCTCTGACGTTGACAGTTGTTCTCAACTTGAATTCTATAAGTGCTCACACATACTGTGATATATTGTCACGTGCCACACCGTCGAAAACAAGGCATAATTTTTTTTCGGGGACGTTTAGGAGTTTCTGTGACTGACAATAAATTTCGGAGTACTTCGCTTATTACGACTTTTCCTTATCATTTTTAAAAAAAGCGATTTTTGTGATAAAAATTAACCAATGCCATATTTATTACAGCTAAGAAATACACGTTAAATTTAAAAAATTATCGTTTGCAATATTTTTCTCTGAGATAAAACAAAAGATTTCAGTAATTTGGTTTATTGCTACTTAAAATATTGTAAAATATAAAAGAATAGTGTCAGTGCATCCCTTGCCCTGATGAAGTGAACGGCATGGTTCACGAAACGTTGGCATTAATAATGAAGAAAGATACGGCAATAACTCGCAAACCTTCTGGTATAATTGAAGAAAATACTCGTAAAAGCCTCAAAAGCATAATATAAAAGAATAATTATGTTAGTAAAAGTGAACGATTTCATTCTTGCGAAATCAATATTTCGCGAATTCAAGACGACAAAGAGGCTATAGGTATAACGCTTGCTGAGCGAATGAATATGATTGGTTCGATCTATAAGTAACAACTAATTATGTTTATTTGCTTGGCGAGCAGGTTAGCCGCTTTGTCAATTTGACGCGCACAATGATATCGCAAAACGAAAGAACGTTTACATTCTCGGACAAAATCGCAAAGAAAATATCGATAAAAAAAAGAAGTTAGATAGTTAGATACACCACAGGAGATTGTTGGGGTTTATTGCGATCCCGCGGAGCTTACTGGTTTCATCCATTATACACATTACAGGCACCCACCTTCAAACTTATGTTTTTACCGATAAATGACAAGAAAGTTAAACACAATTTTATATATTTAATCCTGTTTATAACATTATAAACAATCCATTGTAACATTTGTGTTACAAAACAATGGACCGCGTATAATTTTGTTTATTAACCGTGCAAACAGGAAAAACTTGATTTTGAAATTATTTTAACATAGATTTTCCTGTTATGCTTTTATGCACATACAGTGAGTGCAAAAAATACTCATATAAGAAAAATTTTTATAAAAAGAACTTTATTTGTGGAAAATATACATTAAATAGCAATTTTGTATAATGAATATATTCTGTTCTAATATAAACAAATAAGCTTCATGTATATTTCTGATTTTAGAAGTTAAATTTTTCGACTGTACAAATACATTTTACACATCCATATATGTAAGACTATTTTTAATTTGCTTATTCTTGAGATATTATTATATATTTTATTTAATTGATGCAAATCTTTTAATATAATAATTTTAAGAAATATGTAGTCTATTTTATTCTTTATATAAATTGCTAATTACCCAGTCAAAAATAATCAATTAGACGTCGAATTAATATCAAAAGCAAAGCAAGTTTTCACTTTTTTGAATGTAATTCTTAAAAACAAAAGATAAAGATAAATAATGTTTAAAATAAAAGTTTAAGTATAAACTAAGAGCTACAAAGTGACATAACAGTAAAATTCGTTTTACTTTTTTTTAATTAAAGAAATTTTTCATCATTTTGTAATTCCCATTAAACTTTAATTTATCATTAAATTTTAATTTATTATTAAACTCTAATTTTAAACATTTTTTCTTTATCTTTTATAGCTTAAGAATTATATGCGAAAAAATTTACTTTAAAGTTCAATTTATATTTTTAAATAGTGAATAACGCATATTATATTATTCATGTATTAATTCACTCTACATATTTACAAAAATTCACTCAAATCGAAGATTTCGGATACATAATGTTTCTTTATGTATGTAGTGATATATTGGTAATATTTTTTATGCTAAGGTTTCGTACAACTGGGCATGTTATTGGCAAATATGGAAAGGATGTGTCTGTTTTTGATGGTGATCTATGTTTTGCTCGTTAATAAAAGCGTCGATGCTGAGACTTTCACTCTGGGCTATATCACTGGTTCGAAACGACGTGAAACGGATTATGAATATCAACGTCCCGGTTTACTGATATCCGGTGCAATAACACTCGCCGTGGAGGAGGCGAGTAATTTTTCATCGTTCTCTGCCTAATTTTTAATACGAACAAAAACTGCAATCAGCACTGCAGAAACAGATAATTAAATTTAGCAGTTTAATTTGATTATATAGAAATATGATTATTTAACTGAAAGCGAATAAACAATTTTGTTTAGAAAACACAATGGATACACAAGCGTATTGATTATCTAAAACAACTTATACGAATATCACCGCGGAATTCTTATTATTCAAAGCATTATGTAAACAAGTCCTTTAAATCACACCACGATTTAAAGGACTGCGCATCTGAAAGAATCGATTTTCACTTCTCACACATTCCTATAATATACAGAGAAAACTCGATTACGGAAATAACTTGTAATCATCACTTTAGATATTTATTTTTGTTAAATTTTATATAATCATCATCAAATCAATTAAAACATATTAGATGCTTCAAAAAAGCCTTTTGAAATTCGAAAAGAAAATGTTAAGAAATAATTTAATAAGATTTTTTGAGAAATAATTCAAATTATTTGCTACAATCGTATTACGATAGAATTAACATTACTGCGGAATATTTTTATAAGCGTTAGATACATATAACTAATTAATTACTATTTTTAATCTCTCTATTTCAAATGTTTTTTCTTAAAAATAGTTTTGCTTGAAATGCAGGTAAATGCCGGTGAGCTTG